TTGTACTTCAAGATTTCGCAGAGCGACAATTACAAGTATCATCATAATATGTGTTATTCTTATCAGTGTAGAATATATATTAAAGTAATCAAGACCTTCCTGTTGTTTGTAGCATTTTATTACTAATCTAACCTTAGACTTTTCGATTGTTCCATCTGTTTTCATTTTCCTTTTGAATATCCACTTGTAATCTAGTGGTTTACTTCCTAGAGGAAGATCCACTAGCTCCCATGTATGATTTTGCAAAATGGAATCTTTTTCACTTTTAATGGCCTTTTTCCACTAAGATCCTTCTGAAAAGTTCACAACTTCTTGAACGTTTCGAGGTATACTTTCTAGCATATAAGTTAAAAAATCAGGACCATAAAATTTTTCTGTCATTTCCCTTTTGCTACGTTTTGATTCAACCTCAACCACCTCTTATAATTCTTGGTCCTGACTATTTTCAACCATAGTCTCATGTGTTTGTTTAGAAGAGCTTGCTTCCTCTTTGGATCTATAAGAAAATACATGTTCAAAAAATGAAGCATTTCTCGATTCCATTATTATATTTTTATGAATGTCTGAAATTTTAGACTCTTGCACAAGAAATCGATAAGCACTACTATTATGTGCATAGCCTATGAAGATGCAATCTACAATTTTCGGGCCTTTCTTTATTTTCTTTGGTGTTGGAATAGTCACTTTAGCAAGATACCCCCACACTCGTAAATATTTATGCGAAAATTTTCTTCTTTTCCATAATTCATAAGGTGTCTTTTCTGTTTTCTTTTGAGGCATTTTATTTAAAAGGTAAGTTGCTGATAACACGACTTTCCCCCACATGTTTTGAAGTAACCCAGAAATTACTAACGTTGCATTCATTATTTCTTTTAAGGTACGATTTTTCCGTTCAACAACTCCATTTTATAGAGAATTTTTTTTTCCATAATTTCGTTCTTACTTTCAAACAGATACACATAACAATTTTGTGAAATATCGTCGACAAAAGTAATGAAATACTTGTTGGCATCTCTTGTTTGTACAAATTTTAAATCACATACGTTGTTGTGAATTAAATCAATTAGTTCTGTTTTTCGTTCAATTGATTTAAATTACGACCTTATCAATTTTGTCTCAACACAAATTCCGTACTTGTGTTTAGAATCAATATGGAATGAGGGTATACAATTCAAATTAATTAATCAATGCAATATATCATAATTAACATGTCCTAATCTACCATGCCACAAACACAAGTTTCGCACTTATGTTTTGAATCAATATGGAACGCGGGTAGACAATTCAAGTTAACTAGTTTTCGTAAAGATTCATAATTAACATGTCCTAATCTACCATGCCACAAATTGGAAGACTCAATCAAGTAAGCAGAAGAATTAGCTTTATTTATTTTCGATTTCTCAACTATTATATTTGGTTTAAACATACCATCGAAAACATAACATTTTCCGACAAACATTTCACTTTTTGACAAAATAACTTTGTCAGACTCAAATATAATAGGAAACCATGCTTATTCAAAAGCGATTAGGACACTAGGTTTTTACGAATTTCCAGCACATACATCACATTGTTAAGAGTCGCTCTTTCCCCAAAGTCATCTTCAAAACCACATTTTCTTGATCCTTGATTTCAGAAGTTGCTGAATTTCTCTTGAACAACTTCTTCCCATTCTCAATTGTTTCGAATGCAGCAAACACCTCTTTATTAGAGCACACATGCCTCGTAGCACGGTGTCAATCCACAACTCTTTTGGGTTAGAACCCAGCATGTTCATTTTAGAAATGACGGCTGTGATATTCATCTTTGATACATTATATGCCATGTAATCAACCACATTTGCTTCTTTTTATTCTTCTTCTTTAGTAATCTGCACTCCGAAGACTTGTAGCCTACTTTGTCACAATTGAAGTATTTTTTTTGAAATTTCTTTTTAGAAATGCCCCATTTCGATCCCAACTTAACACATTTGCTACCAAATATCCTAGATTTGTTCTTGAAGGTCTTAGAACTTCGACCGTGCTCAACAACTTTGGCTTTAGCCATAATAGGATTGAACCCCTTCTTTTCTTAACTTCCGTTGTGCTCTTCAATTCGAAGTTTAACAATCAGTTTTTCACCATTCATTTACTTTCACTTGTATTTAAAATAATTCTTGAAATCTTTCCATGCGGAGGACAATTTTTCAATAATTGTAGCCACTTGAAAAGTTCCAGTCAAAATCATCCATTTAGCATGAATCTCATAAAGAATCATTTGGAGTTCTTGTACTTGACTGATTATTGTTTTGGAGTCCACCATCTTATAGTCCAATGATTGGACAACAATGAATTTCTTGGCCTCGACATCCTCAATCTTATATTTTCGATCTAATGACTCCCACAACTCCTTAGCAGTTTTTATAGTACTATATAAAGCGAATCTGTGAAGTTGTTCATGATGTAGTTATGGTACGAAAAATCTGAATGTTTCCACGCATCAAGTGCGCTGATAGCTTGAACATATTCCTCACCCCCTTTGATTTTCGAAGCAATTTCAGTCAAGAATCTCACAAGATTCAAGCTGGTCAAGTAAAACAACATTTTCTATTGCCACATTTTGAAATTCAATCCATTGAATTTCTCCGATTTTTTTCCATGATTAACCGGAACAGTATCGATATCATCAGTTGGTTGAGCCACTGTCTGACTCATAGCATAACTTGGAAATTTAGCCACAACAGAACTTAGCTCTTGAGTCACAACAAATGTTGGCTCTTGAGCCAAAGCAGATCACTCCGTCGGGTTTTCAGAAGCTACATTCATATTGATTGGTTTGGTTTCCATTTATGAAAATCAAATGAATATTAGTTCTCAATAAAACCAAAATGAACATTCCTGTTATGAATCTGTTCTAAGTTTGTTACAAAATAATAGTGAATAAATATCGGTTTAACAAATACAGGATGGACACATACGGTTGTGCAACTAACTTACCGTATGAACGTAAATATCGGTTGGACACATACCGGCTGGTTGGACAACTAACTAACCGAATGTTAGCCAAAATATTATAGATTAATAATTTTATTAATCACAATAAAAAAACAAAACAAGTAATATAAATTGCAGGAAATCAAAATCCAATGAACTTTGAAATCGAGGCCCGTGTGAACATAATTTCCTTAAAACAAATTTGCCTCCTCCTCGTAGGTACTTGATGTTTTGTTCGAGTGTCTGTTTCTCAGGATACAATGAAAAACTAGTAGAGTTTGAGCACTGCAGATGATACTCTGACGAACTGACTTATTATCTAAACAGTACCACCATCAAGACTTTGACAGAAAATGAAAATTACAGATGCAGACAAGAGATAAAGTTTTGTTATATACAGAGGAGAGAAATTTTTCATGTGTTTGTAAGGGAAGAAAATGCTTAAATACATATGTTGTATTGGAGAATTAACAGCCAATGAGTTATGCCATTGATCACTATTAATCCGACTGTTAATTTCTCCATTGAAACAGACATAGTCACATGAGTTTCAGGTCGCGCTCACACACAAGTTCAAGGTCCGAACCTTTTTCGATCTATGATTTGCACCCCCTACGTGAGCGCGTAGAGATAGTATCTATGCTACACATGATTATATTCTTCTAAAGTATAATCATAATTAAAGTGGTCAATGAATTTATCCATTTTTCTATGTGAGATAACTTTAACTAGTTTTCCTTCAACACAAAACATCTTCCAATTAATCATTTTGAGCTCCAATTTTTCATTCACCCGAGAATCATTTTTGACAAATAAATATATGATTTCAATATTTTCATGAAGGAGAACATAAATCAATCATGATCTTCCAAAACAAACAAAAAAGGTCCCACTAAATTTATGTTAAAGTCAATCCTTCAGTTTATTTATTTTTTCCAACAAAAGGGTCTGAGCTAAGGCTTGAGTCGTGCATCTTTTTCGGTGATGGTTCGAGCCCGAGGTGGCCAATGTGGCTCGCTTCGTGTCATAGGCTACTGCAATTGGCTGCCTAAAGCCTGCTTCAGGTGGGCGGTTGGCTTGCCACTATAACCGATTTTTTTTTAAAAATAATTAAAAAAAAATCGAGCAGATTGGGCAAGGCTCGAGTCGAGCCTCGATTTTTCAATATAGCTATGGCTCTGCTCGAGCCAAAAAATTTCGAGCCATTTTTTGTTTAGGCTACACCCGAGCCACAATTTTCAGCTCATGAGCCGGCTTGACCCGACTTATTTACATCCGTAGATATGAAAACTGATTTTTCTCGAAGAATTTTAAAAATATATATATTGAAGGAATGCATTATACGATATCAATATGAAGTAAAGTTAAACAAATTTAAGGAATTGAAATTTGCTATTCAACTTTTGCTGTTCAATTTGTTGTCTACCCAATTAATTGTTGACACATCATTTTGTGTGTGGGAGAGTATTTAACAGTGTTAAATAGTTGTTAAATTGGAAAATTAAAATTGATGACATGTTCATTTAAAATAATGTGTCAATAATTAATTGAGTGGATAACAAATATCTCAACTCAAATTTAATGGTCAATGGCATACAATTAATGTAATAAATAAATTTACAAATCAAGTCATTTGTTTGTTTTTTGAAATGAGCAAATCTTTAAATGAGTAAAATGGATTAACACAATGTATAAAAGAATAATGCCATTTGTAGTCCCACTCGAGTTGCAACTCAAGTCTAGCTTTATTTAATGCCACATCAACGTCACCTAGCTAAATAGCATTACTCTATATAAAATTAGTCAAAAACTTACCAAGTAAAAGTGGGAAGTAGACTAATGATTTTGTAATCCCAACTCCCAACTAACCGTTTGGATTATACATGCCCTATTCACTACAAATTAATGAAATCTAAATCTGATTACTGGAATTCCAATTAAAAGAGTGAATCTTTTGAAGATTTTTTAAATTCATGACACAATAAATGTTAAGGTATACTATCTACTCTATCCACAAACTCTTAAACAATGGAGAAGTTTTTGGTCAGTGCTGCCTTGTGCATGCTTTTGCTCTATGTTTCCATGAACTTCACCAATGCGGTTGATAATGGTAGTTTTACATAAGTCTCTCCTCTTCTTTCATGTGTGCGTGCTTATTTACTCCAAACTTATAAACAAAAATGGGGTTTTTCATGTAGACGACCTATAATGTATCTAGTTGTGTCTCACATTTTGGACGTCATCTTCTTACTAGTCGATTTAATTTTATGTATTTCTTTACAGATGGAGCGGATACAGAAGATCCTAGAAGAGTTCTAGTACATACATGTGTTCAGTACATATATCAGCCAGGATGTCAACCATCGTACTGCTCGAAATATTGCCGCACAGCCCAACCCACAGCAGTAAAGTCACGGTGCGACTTGAAAAAAGGGATATGTCTTTGTTATTTTCGATGCATGTATCCACCAAATTAAAGGCATGAACTGTTTCACTTCTGAGCCATGACTAATGGATCTTATCAATGTTGTATTCAAGTTCACTTTTGGCCCTTTTTGTACATTTTGTCTAATATTTGTTCCTTTGCCTTTTCACATTTTTTTTTTTCATTTTGATACATTGAAAACAAGAAAACACTCTAATTTTAATTCCCAATGGATGTCTCCCTGTTATATACGCAAAAAGGCAACAAATCAGTTGGAAAAATAAATTGACTGTCTGTTTTCCAATTTTGACAAGTAGTGACGGAAGATCAAAACTAGTAAGTCTGTCCATACTTATTGTTGATAATTAAGAAAAAATGAAGTGAAATCTATTTTTTTCAATTTTTTTTTTTTGACGTCGGAACCTACAGTCGCTATCAGCTAGCGGAGTCTCGACCACCCCATAGGGGTGGAGGCCCAACCACTGTGAGTACGTATTAGGTAAATCCAACTTCATGTGTTGTAGCCCGCAAACCACACAAGTGAGGTAAACTGCATTAAGCAAGCTCGGTGCGACGGGTTTGACCGAGGAAGTGTTGGCAGGGGATTCAAACTCGCGACGTTTGGTTTCCGTGTTCACCTACTCCACCAATTCGACTACCCCTGAAAGGGTATATTTTTTCAAAATATTATGCATGAATTAGGTATATCATGAGAAATTATTAAGACACGTTCCAACTACTGTTTGCAAAATAAAATAGCAAAGTAGTAAGTTGATTTTTGGGTCTGCTTTTGTTTCATGGTTTAAGTATTTGTCGATTTGAGGGGTTTGTGGATTTTTCCATTGGGGTTTTACCACTTCAAGTAAATGCATTAATCCGTTTAATTTAATAGTTTAACGGTCTAATTTGCATTGGCTGAAAAGAGTAATAACAAAATAAATCAACAAATCATTTGCTTCGTTAATTACACCCGTTTAAACGGTTAAATAGGCTCAAATCTCAGTTTCTATTTGGTGAGGATTAAAATCAAGTTCTTAGTCGATTTTGATAAAAGTTAATGAAATGCGTAGTTGAATAGCTGTTGATCTCATAAAATATATGATTAAAATTAATTAATGACTTTAAATTAAATTAAAATCTTGATTAGTTCATGAAAATTGCGTTCAAGGGTGAGTTAAAACTTAATACCTGTTTGACATGACTTTTGCTTTTTACCGAATAAATTTTGGAGGAGACTGAATTTATTTTTGTATGAAAATAATTTTGAAAGAGTTTTATATTCCAAAAGTGCTTTTAAAGAAAGCCACGTTGGACCAACTTTATCAAAAATCTCTTTCAATTAGAAGTTTCACTTTCATAAAATTAGTTAAACATATTCAAAAGTAACTTTCGAGTCTCAATAGTTGTTTTTAACTTTCGTGGGGAGATTGGAAATTTGTTTAAATTCAAAATTATATAAAATACTATTGAATTTCCTCTCATTATTTTTCTAGATCCTAATTTTATATTTTCTTATTAGACAATCTCGGCACAGTCTATGCTATACAATCGAGCCGTCGAATTATTTCAAATTTATTCAATTATTATATTTATTTTCAATCGTACATTTATAAAATAAAATATTTTGTACGTGAATTCAAAATTTTTTCTACTTTCTAATCATGTATTTTAAAAAAAACACCGTTTAAACTTTTTTTTTTTATTTAAAATAATGGCATCAATCCGGGCTAAGAAACAAGTGAAACTGTCAACGTTCACAGCGTCCGAAAAATAGTACACCGTGCTCAGAAAGTTGTACACGCCTAGATATCTCAGCATGCCAGATTTAGTAGACCAGCGTAGACTTCACTTGTACTCCCCCACCCCCCCACACAAATCCTCAATCTACCCACGCCCAACATATACCCCGAACCCCAACCCCACTGCCTACCGCCGCACAGCAGAAACCAACCACAGAGACGGCGGAGGAGCTATGTTCAGGGACGTGTCGGCATGCAATACCTACAACTACGGTGACGCCCTCTACTGGGACGCCCGTTACATCCAAGATGCCAACTCTGGTTCCTTTGATTGGTACCAACGCTATTCTGCGCTCCGCCCTTTTGTTCGTAAATACATCTCTCCTACTTCTCGCGTTCTCATGGTGGGCTGCGGCAATGCTGGTATTTTTTCAGTTTTACCCCGACTCTTTGTCTCCTTTACGATTTCAGTGTTCGGAAAAACTTGAGCACTAGTAGATATTGAGTTTTGAATTATTATGAAAAAAAATCTTCCCAGCAGCTTTTTACAATTGAAAATGGCCTATGTTTGAAGCCTTTTCCTTTCCTTTTCTGTTTGACAATGAACTAATTTTGTGAAAAGGGAAAGAGATTTTGAGGAAAGGTTTAATTGAAGAATTGGGACAACTCTGCTGAATTTTCTGGTGACCCAAAGATTTTGTTAATTAGAATTCAGTGAATTCTTGCCTCTCTGGTTTTGGATTTAAATTTACTTGTAAAGGAAAGCTACATAAATAAATAACTTTTCTATTTCTACTAGAATTTGTGTCTAACCCGGAGATTGCTTATATTATCTCATACTTTTCATATTCATTACTTACAATTATTGGTGCTATAACAGCTTCTTTATCTTCTTCGCTCTTGGTGTAGATCCTGCCATTTGTCATGAATCATGTGTTCTATATGTATAGGAATGACTTGCGTTTAAGACGTTTCTGATGCGATAGATGAGTTGCTTTACAGTTATATCAGAGGACATGGTTAAGGATGGTTTTGGAGATATTATGAACATCGACATATCGTCAGTGGCTATTGACATGATGAGAAAGAAGTATGAGAATGTCCCTCAGTTGAAATGTATCCTTATAAGGATTTGTGTTAGATGTTCAAGTTTTTTTTATCATTTGCCAATTTTTTTGTCTTCTTAATGCTGGTCCGTTTGTCAGGATTCAGGAAACATCAAATTCTTTTGCCTATTCAGCGTTTAGAAATGTTTTTCTGTTTTCTTTTTTTGGTGAGAATAGATACATAAAATACGGTAAAAACCAACCTTTTAACCACATTGCATAATATGATTTTTGTTTCTTTAACACACATGTCGGTGTTAGAAAAGCTCCAGTTCAATTATTGAATCCCTCATCAAAAGCATATTTGCATGTTTTCATTGAGAGTCCAAGCAGGTCTTTTTATTTTTTTATTTTTTTAATATTCTTTTCCAATTCCAAATACCCGAATCAATTATTTTATTGAATCCTTTCCTTATGTAACCCAAAAGACATGCAAATGGATGTTAAAGATATGAGTTTCTTTCCTGATGAATCATTTGATAGTGTCATAGACAAAGGTAAGTGGCTGCCCTATTTAGTAATTTGAAATTTTTGTGTAGTGTAATATAAAGAGACAATACAATAAATATTTCGCCTTTGATGTTTTGCATGGACCCGCTACTTTGAATAATAGGGACTCTTGATTCATTGATGGTGAGTTATAATTTACTTTGCCTCCTTGTTAGATTTCCTTCTTTAATGTGTTCTAATTCCTTTTCTTCTTTGTTCCTTTTTTCTTATATGCTCATGGATTTAAAGTGTGGCACTAGTGCTCCCATTAATGCCGCTCAAATGTTGGGGGAAGTGAACAGGTTCAGGCACAGTAACTTTTTATAGTTGTTAATATTTTTTAATTTGTTATGGAATTGTGCTGAGCTGTATTTTCCGTTTTTGTTTAGAATCTACTTTTTTGCATTTATTTACTTTTTTCAAATGACATGGGATGATAATTTTTCACTTGTAGGCTTCTTAAACCTGGAGGAGTTTATATGCTGGTAAGTTTATGCACAAAAATGTTCTCTTGCACATCTTTACAATTCTTGTAAGCTGAACAAAAAATTTCTTGACTTCTTGGCTGTTTGCAGATAACATATGGTGATCCTACTGTGCGGATGCCCCATATAAATCGACCAGTTTACAATTGGAAAATTGAATTATATATTATACGTAAGTGCTCTTTTCTTGACGTGGAAGCTCCTTCTGTTGCGTTTTAGAATTCAAGATAATTTGGATTTTCTCCCATTAAAAATGGTATTTTACATTTTCTCTATCACTCATCTGTGCATACGAGGCGCTTGCTTAGATTGAGTTTATGTTGTGATAGGAGTATGTGAAAATTTAGAGGTAGACACTGGGATATACAGAGTCTGCATGTTTGTCTGTTCATTATGTCCTAATCCAACTCCCTTAGTATGGTTTTCCCTCTTAATGATGGTATGATGCCCTTCGAATTTAAATCGTGCTTCTTAGTAATGATACCCTTTTCAATTTTTAATGTTATTCAGTAAATATCTCAGCAAATGTTATTATGAACTTATTCTATCTTGTGTATTGATTCCAAATAATTTTATTTAGTTTCCATGGAGTTCTTTTTTGTCTAATTGCAACTTGGCGCAATACAAAAAAATTTAAATAATAAGATTAAGGTGCCAACAGTAACATTTATTCACAACCTATCAGTTAAAAAATAAATAAGTCATTGAAAATTTGAAGAAATATTGAAGAATCGTTATTACCTATTTATCAATTAATGTTATTTTTCTGGTTACAAAAACCTTGGAATAGAGCATAGCACCTGAATTTTGCAATGCACCAACTAACAATGATCTCTCTGTGTCTCCAAAGGCTATAATCAACAAGGATGGCCTTCAGAACAGAAAATCAGATAAAAAACTTCTAGTTTCTTCCGTGCTTTACTTCGCCACACCACTTCCCGGTGAAGCATTATCTCCTTCTTTAAAAGTGCATGAAGTCTGAGAACTTCCAATTTTCTGCACCAAGTTTTATACAAGGGCTAATTTGGGTATTAAGGTGTTTTGCCTGCACAAGGTGAGCCTCAACATATACCACTAAAATAATTCAAAAAATTACATAAATACAAAATATACTGGTAATTAACCAATAACCATTAAAAAAACCCATAATTAAATATTGCAATAAAATTAGAAGTCTATCTTGCAACTAGAAACATAAACTGGATCGATTAATGAGGAAATAATGAATTATAATGTGGTAATCACATAACAAGACAATTAATCCCCAACTAGAAATAAAAGTCTAAAACAAATAACCAGCTATTGAATAATTTTTACTTCCTCGACTTTAAAAGGAAAAAAATACCAGAGAGAGAGAGAAAAAAAAAAAACAAGAATACAAAGACAATAATGTAAAAAATAAAAAAGAAAAAGACGAATGGAATTAAGTGTCGAAACTAGTTATCTGCCACTAAAGGGTCGAAACTTCTTGTTCTTTTATTTTTTTTAGGGTGGATTACTGTACTCCATTTCTAGGTGTCCAGGGAACATCTGGTGCTTCACTCATTTTCTCTCAATCTCCAAATCCTTTTCTAGTATTTAGGATTGAGTTGTCTTTAAACAGCCCAAAAAGCCAAAAAGGCAAAGGTAGGTAAAAAGAACCCACGAAAGGGAAGACTTAGGAGGGCACACCTCAGCTGCCTAAGGCTTATTTATCCAAGGAAAATTTTAAGGCTCTTAATGATAGCTTAATATTCTAAGGTAAAACAATATGGAGCATTCAAGAAATCTTCAGTGCTAACTGACAGATTTGTCCTCCCCAAAGAACTGATAATTTTATGTTGTTGCAATATTTATGACCGTGAAAATTTTGTTAATTTGTTTGTACCCAAACTTAAAAAAACAGAGTACCAAGTACCTAACCTTATTTCATTTATTTGTTTATGTATTCATTGTTTCTCATTTGACGTGAACAATGGTTTGACTGACATTACAGTTCTGAGTAATTGCAAATAGGAAGAAAGACTAAGAAAAGCAACCTCCTGAGTGTGTGTTATTTAAGTAAAAATGCTAACCTGACATACAAAAGGGGCAAGAAATATCAGTTTGAATTGCTGGTTTTTTTGTCAGTTTGAAGGAAATTCTATGACCAAATGGAATTAAAACCAAAATGACAAGACAATGGAAAATATATAACGCATATGTATCCTTATGTCCCTCCAAAGTTCTAGTTCTGATGAAACTACAAACTCGAGAATGAAATTCAAGCAACCATAACCATAATATCTTTTGTGTGCATGCGTTTTTGTGTACGATTAAAGGTGTATAAATGTGCACAGATACATGGGTGTATACATGCATATAGATAGAGAGATAGGTTCTGGGGGAGGGCGACATGAATGGGCAATAAGTAAATATAGAGGTAGAAGCATGCTCCATATGGACATGTAATGTGATGAAGAGGTGATTCTATGTACAGTTTTACACCACCTAGGTTGAGCAGAGAGTATATGCAGGCACTTTGTACTGTTTGTTTTGCTGAGCAGAGAGATTTATATGCAGGCACTTTGTACTGCATGTTTTGCTGACGATATAAATATTCTTGCTATAATATGCATAGGCAATCTGCTCACTTGTTGCTGAGGAAACAAGATGGCTTCAAATTCAACTTAGTCTAGTAGAAAGATCAACTTGAGATCCATGGAGTTAATGGCATGTACATATGCATTCATGCCTATGTAATTGTTCACTGATTATTCATCCACATTGCTTTATGTACATTTTAACTTTAAACAAACAGAAGATCAACATTAACAAGCAAGAGAATAAACGTGTACAGAATCAACTTATAAGATTCCTGTTGATGTCTTATTTTGCGGGGAGAGAAAATAGAGCACATATGTCTTATGATGTAGGGAGCAAAGGGAAGGAGGTTGGACATAAATACGTCTGCTTGAAGGTTTAGTTGGAAGGAGGAAAATGATTTTTCCTTATTAAGAAGAGAAGAGATGGATATTGATGTCAGTATAGCAACTGTATGAGGCAAGATTTAGATGAAGGCAATATTAGGAGAGTTATTGGCGATGTTCAAGACTGTAGTAGTAACTTTATGATTATGGAAGATTTTTCCTTGTTTTCGGTACTGCCGTCACTGGATGCTCTAACTTATTAATTATTTTACAATGAGATTCGAGAAAGAATGTTTATGAATGATTAGGAAAAATTTATGCTATTGTTCTGAAAGAGAAAGAAGCTAAGATATTGAAGTAGAGGGCTATTTTCAATTTGATTGGACAAATATGAAACAAAGTCTACTTAAACAAAAATGTGGGACCTATTTTTTTCCCCACCAATGAAGAACTTAAAAATGAGTAGAGCAGAAATGATTGAATTGTCTAAAGAAGCTCGTGCCATATGTCATTCAACAAAGGGTTCTTCAGAAAATTTGTATAATTTGTAGATCTGGAGTCCTAAGACCGTAAGATGTCTGGAAATGTCCTTTGTCTACCTAGTTGCATTGTTGTTTAATTTCCTATAATTTATAAACAGTTGTCTATGATTAGGCGTCTTGTAACTTTGCGAATTGGAAATTATATTGAGCACAGTTCCGAACCCCAGTAAAGATGATATTCTCCTCTCTTTTTTCTTGTATTTTTACTCTTCCTGCTTCGTTGTAGTTCTTTTGCTTCCTAGAATACTGTTCTGACCTATGAATCACTGGACAAAATAATAATAACCCCCCAATGTTTCTAAAAGCTACTATTATGTTCTTAGTTCATCAACCTTGCTTTTCCCCTTAATCTCAAAATTCTGCAACTTCTATCCATCTTTTACCCATCCTTAGACCCTTTGATCCATTTAGGGATGTTTTTGGTAAAAGGGAAATGGCTGGAAGCTCGTAATTGAACTGCTCCTTTTTTATGCCAGTTTAGCTTTTTGACAGAATCTGAAACGAAGTCCACCATTTCAACTAAGCCCCTGTTTGACACCCATTTTGGGTAAAAAATAAATTTTGAAATAGTGATTGATGGAAGAATGTGTGGTTGAAAAGTAATGAGAATTTTTGGGTTTATGTGTAGTATTATTTTATTGATAGAATGTGTGGTTGAAATGAAGAAAGAGAAGAAAAATGAGAATGAGAATGAAAAGAAAATGGATGTCAAACGGGGGCTAAATGGAATGATGTCCTGACAATCTTGCTCTACTTTTCTACTTTAGAATTCTTGAATCTGGCTTTAGATCTTTATATTTTGGCAACATGTTATAGGAGGGCATTCAGCTAGCACAAAATAAAATCTTAGTCTGAAGTTCAGTGATTGGGCTACTTTTAGCTTATTTTCTTTCCAATAATTGTTTCATGTTAATTTAGTGGTATGCTTCAGCTAGAGTATTTTCAGTGACCAGTTTGAAATTGTAAGTCTTGCTGTACCGAGCTCAATGCAAGTTCCCTTTTGTGGACTGATCTTATGAAAGGAAGGATTCACTAACATGATTAATTGGTGCTCTTTTCCTGGAAGTAATGAGGGTTACCCTTTTACCAGGAAATGGTTCTTATATGGTATGTTTTCTGCCGAACTTTGACCAGAGAGCTGAGTTCTTTCAACATGGTTTTCTTAAGTGCTCCTCTATACTCTACTCATCACATACATAAACGTACAGTCAAGTCACTATGAGGATTGCCCTCCTATTTGAAGTTTCAACCTTGTTGACTATGACTAGAATCATGAATAAAGGCTCCCACCCAAAATAAGTTGCTTCATTATGCTGACAGTTTTGTCTTTAGAAGGGTCAGATGTAATTAGATTTGGCTATGGTCATAATTAATTGTCCAATCTTTTGTTTCTCGTGTGCTATGATTACCTTCAGGAAACGGTCAGAGAGTTTAGCTGCTGGTCCTCGCGCTTTTGTTATATTGCATTAGTTGCCCTCCATCACGTCCTACTAAAAATAGAGGTTAAGTTTCCTGAACTTGTTGGTTCAATCAGTAGATCGTGAATTCTTTTTCTGCCTCTCACCTAGTAACCGAACTTGTTACTCTTAAGAGATCAAACGCCTCTGCTTCTTCCAGGATCCCTTATCTTCTGAGAACAATGGTTTGTAATATTCAAATTTCTGAGCTTTCCTGATTTAAACAAAACTTGTTAATTGTGTGTTTATGACTTTATGCCCCAGAAAACAATGTAGTGATATGCAGTTTCTCTATGTGATGAGCTAGGGAAGTCATTTTACTAAGTTACTGTATGTAATTGCTAAAATGAGAGGATGATATCAAAATTATTACTTTTCCTTCCCATTTTGCAGCTAGACCTGGATTTCAAAAGCCACCCGGTTCCACTTCTCTGAAGACAGGCTTAGAACCCGTTCCTATGACAGAGAAAGGTCTACTCCCGGCAGATTATACTTTGGAAGATCCCGACTCCCATTTTATATATGTGTGTAAAAAAGGCCGACGATCCAACTGATGTCAGCCACAGATCTATCAATTCTGTGACTGATGATACACTACAGAGATAACAAATAGACCCTGATATTACTTGTAAAAACTACTTAAGTGTTCTAGCCAAACTAGTCACGAGGAGGCCTTTGAATGTATTGGCAGCCATACTGATGATAATGTAGTTCGTGATAATAGGATTGTTGGTCATTTAAGAAAAGAATAATTGGTGGTTGGTGTGCTAATATCAGCCCATATTTAACTCCAACTAGCCTGTTGTCTGTACATAAGTGGATTAATCAAGGACAATATGTTTATAATATGACCTTAAGGTTAATTGTAAAGAAAAAGAACTAATCATTTCTTCTCTTGTTTACATTTTTACAAACTAAATAAATGTAAAATGTGTATGAAAATGTAATCTTAATACACACTTCAACGTACATTGAATTCATTTTCGTTGAAGGGTTAATTTAGTTTTTGAAAGAGTCAAGTCGAACTAGAACATGTCCATCCTTATTTCTATCCATGGTAAAACTTAAAAAGTCTATTAGGCTAATATTAAAAACTAAAATGTGCATTTGAAAGTGCAATTAAAACAAAGTGCATGAACCACATATCTACAGTAGGTGATAGTTGTGACAATAAATATAACATTATTGTAAATTATTTCTTTAAACGTTTTAGTTGAATGACATAAAGAATACCGTTGACTTATTATGTGCGATGGACAAATTTTGAGCATGTAATCCACGTGTAAGATTCACTTTGACACGTAGTATGAGCGAAAGGATTGTGTCCCATCATCCGTGTCAAGCGAAAATTTCAAAATAGAAATAACAAAAAGAAAAAAAAAATCTTTGAAAAAATGCAACGAAAACAGAAAGTAATTATGAGTAAAAGATGATAAATTTTGATGGACAAGACGCAACCTAGTACACAAGGTAAAGAAACAGGAAAAATGACAGTACCCACGTTACTTCATGTTATTTCATCATTATTTTTTTGGCAAACCTTTTAACACAAAGATAGTAAATGCTATTTATATTTCAAACAATTGAAGGAAAATTTACAACTGAGATTTCAAAAATCACAAGCATGATGCTGAAAATAATAATAATTAACCCTTAAATGAACAGATCATTAATAAACAATAAATCAGGCTAGGTGTACAGATTTTACTTCACAGATTTTTTACATAGCGGTTTTCCATTTACTCGTGACAAAAAAAAAAAAAAAAACAGATCCAATCAAATGCAACACAGCATTTGGAAAAATTCTGTAAGGCCTTTTTTTTTTCTGTACCTATGGTTTTTTCCATTACAAAATAGATATTGGGGTGGTTCAAGAATTTACCAAATCTAGGCAGATTGTGGTTCTGTATGTATAGTAACTCTTGTACGCATAGAACTTTATAATATGAAAAGTGGAAAGTGGGACCGACGATGAAACCCAGTAAAAGCAAAGCCCGGGCTTAATGTGGCAACAATGCATCGGGAAAAGAGTCACTCTTTGTATACAATAGCCATGCAAAAGCTTGCCGTTTCAGTGCCATTTGGTGCTATATAAATTGAAAACGTCTCTCTGTATTCTTCTCCTTTATCTCTCTTTCACCTTATATAGCAACTCCTTTTCTTTTCCTTTTTAGTCAAACGTACCCATTTATAAACCTGCATACGTAGATAAACTGTTGAGCGAGAGAGATTGAAGAGGAGTTACTCTTTCGGGATCTTGAATCTATTATTTTTGTGGGTTTTTGGAGAGAAAAAATGGGTCGAGGAAAGATCGAGATAAAGAAGATCGAGAACTCGAATAGTAGGCAAGTTACATTCTCTAAGAGGCGTCAAGGCCTGTTGAAGAAGGCCTATGAACTGTCTGTTCTCTGTGAAGCAGATGTTGCTGTCATTATTTTTTCCAGCACTGGGAAGCTTTTTGAGTTCTCCAGTTCAGAGTAATTGCACCTTTCTTGTGGGTTTTTTGATTTTTCTTTTTCGGTATTTTTTTCTATTAATTCCTTGGGGATTTATTGATGACTTTAAAAGGATTCTTGGGTGTTTTATTACCAAATTCACAACATTGCATGTAGATTTTTGATTGTTAATATTGTGGATTCTGTTAAATATTTTGGAATCAGCCTCCTTTAATTAATTTATCTGATTTTATTTTTCAAAAGAATAAAAGAATTTTTTTTCAGTGCATGTGCTTTATAATGAATTTTATTACTGTGTTTTTGAGTTTTTCCAGTGTTTGATTGGTTTATTTAAGTTATTTTATGCTGCAAATGTAAAAACTTATGACTCGATTCGATATACGGTGTAATTTACTAAAAGAAATTAATTCAGTTAAAAATCCGGCCTTATTTAGTTACCGTGGTTTTCGTGCAAAACATATTTGGTAAAATTTTCTACAAATTTTGTTTGAGACTACTGTTCGTTAATGCAAATCTAGTTTTATTTCTTCGAGGAACAGATTTGAGGAAAAAATTGTTCCATTGTAACTAGAAGTAAGAAAGAGGGGTGTTACGAGGGATTAAGTTTCAAAAAGTGGCACAGGATAATTATTTGCATTTTGATTAAGTGAATATTTCTTTTGAGTTTGATTGTGCAAATCTTTAATATTGGAACTAGAAATTAGTCAATTAGCGGTTATAAAAGCAGAGAGGTACGAATTGTGAAATATTACACACAGATGAAGAATGCCAAAGTGCCAAAATTTTGGTTGCTATATGAATTCATGTCTCTGTCATATAAATGAATTGAAAGCCTCAAATATTTGCCTATTCATATGTGATTTTGATGCAGCATGCAAACAATAATTTCAAGATACAGCAAGTCCATGGATTCTTCACAGGTTTCTACACCGGAAATCAAGTCGGAGGTATGCCGTTCTATTTTGCCTTTTCAGCCTATGTCAGCCTGCTCCCTTCCCCCACTCTGTTGCTCTCTGTCTTTCTCTCTCGGCACAAATCCGATTTCTCTGCACGATATTAAAGCCTACAGTATCTTTGCTGTACACATGCGTGTTTGTGCTAACACAATCCAAATATTTATAGTTAATTTGTGAGTCGCTCAGATATGTATTTCGATAAGACACAGTAATTGAGCAAATTCAACCTTGTGAATCTGTAGTTCCCATTAGCTACATATCTTTGAAGGCAATAATTAGACGAACTTGAGAAGAGATAGCCAATGCCAGGCCATTATGCCCGACCTCTATCATTCTACCAGTAAATTTATTAATAAAGTGTGTACCTTAATTAAAGTGACTATTTGTTGAATGATTTCTTTTGTTTAATTCAATTTATCAATTGAGTTGAGTTTTCAGAGTTTCCTGTCTAATTTCTCTCACTTTTACCAGAAGCAGGAATCAAAGGAAGCTGATGTTCTCAAAGAGGAGATAGAAAAGCTGAAAATGAAGCATTTGTATGGTTTCCTTTACTTATCTCATTGTCAATCAGCAATAGCACGTTTGGTATGATGGATTGTATAGCACTTAAAATAATTAAGAAAAAAAAAAGTTAAAATCTTGTTCAGTGCTATCCATTACTCATAGCGAACATGCACTAAATGTTTAGGAAATCTGATTATCTGAATTTCATTATATCTATTGCCTGTATTGTTTAGGCGAATGCTGGGTAAGGACCTTACTGGCATAGGTTTACGAGATTTGGGCGAGCTGGAACAACAACTAAATGAAGGGCTCTTAAGCATAAAGGAGAGAAAGGTTACGCATTTCATGAGTTTCTTGTGCAATCGTTAGTCCAATACTGTATTTAGTCTGCAGTAATATGTTCTATTTTGACGACATTTTGGATCCATAACAGAGTGTTCTACATTTTCAGGAACAAATATTGATGGGGCAACTTGCACAATCAAGACTGCAGGTAACCCGAGTCCATGAAATTTCCTCTTTTTCACCAATCGATGGGAGCGAAACTACAAATTTCGCGGGCGAGAAAACTAATTATATCTTATGGGATTTGTAGTGATAACAATTCCTCTGGAAAATTTAGACATTTTCTACTTTGTGTAAGCCATTTGATTGCCCTATGCAGGAAAAACAGGCCATGCTGGAGAATGAGACTTTACGCAAACAGGCAAACCAAATATTTGATTATGTGGATGAATAATTCCAATAACTTGGGCTTTTGTTTATGAATTTTGCCTAAGACTATTTATTGGCTTAACATTAAATGTAGGTTGAAGACCTTTGGGACTTCTTTCCATCCAGAAGTCGTAGTCAGCAAATTTCTATTGAGAACTATCCAGTGGATTCGGCCATTAGAGTCGACTCTGTAAGTCCTGAAGCAGTAAGAAATGGTGGATTTGAAGATGGGGACTCAGACACCACCTTGCAATTGGGGTATTTTCTTGTATTACGTGCTCCAATATTGATGATTTGTACAGAATTGCATAGAGAGAGCCAGATAGAAAACACGTAGATTTATCTGGTTCGGTAGTAGGCCAACATCCATGGGAGCAAAGAGGCTATACATCTGTCTATTGAAAGAACAAGGTCACAACATATATACTAACCCCATCCTGTAAAATATATTAGGAAAATCCCAAAAATGCAGACGTTAGCCTTCTTTTCCATTATACATGTGTTCACTCGATGTAAGTCACATACTCCAATTTCCATCTTGATGAATATCCACGACTTGGGACTTGGGAGAGAAAAACATAACCCTGGACTTCAATTGGGACCAATAGGTTGGAACGCCTCCTCTCTACCACCTGGAGACTTTAATCAAGTTCAAGTAATGTTTGAACTTAGCTCTGGTAACAAACTTTGTCAATATGTCTGTTGCATTCTTAGAAGTGTAAACTTTCTCGAGTTAATTTACCAGAAGACGCAAACTTCCTTGGAGCCTAAGCTACTGCCATATACTCTACCTCATCGTAGATAGTGCATCTAGAGACAGAATCATAGACCTCCAACAAATAGGTCCCCCTGCAAGAGTGAATATGTAACCTGTAGTCAACCTCCTGTCATCCACTTCCCCTGCATAATGTGCATTTACATATTCCACAATTGAAGGATCATCATGTTGTCTGTTAAAAATGATGCCATAGTTTGTAGTACCCCTCATGTATATGAAAATCCACTTGACTCATCCCAATGTTGTCATCTTGGACTTCCGAAAAACTTGCTCACCACACTAAATTCTTATGCCTAATTTAGTCTTGTATAGACAATAGCATACATCAAGTACCCACTGCACTAGCATAAAACCTTTGATATGTCTTCAATTTCAACATCTATCATTGAGTGGTAGACAATCTAAAGTGAATCACCAAAAGTGCGCCCACTGGTTTTGTGTTACCCATGCTCAACCTCTACAACACCTTTTCAACATAACCACCATTATATAATCATAATTTTTTGGAATCTCTATCTATCCTAAGATTGGACCTAAATTCTTCATGTCAAATTCTCTACTCAACAAAGTCTCCAACTTGTTAACTTCACTCATACTCGTTGCAACAATCAACATATCGTCCACATAAAGTAACAGAAAAATAAATGAGCAGTCCCCTAGGCTCTTCAAATAAGCATAACCATCATACCCACTTCTCATATAGCCAATCCAAATCATGTAAGAGTCAAATCCCTTAAACCATTACCTCAAAGACTTCTTTATCCTTATAAAGTGATTTCTTCAATTTACAGACCAAGTGCTTAAGTCCAAGCTGATTAAATTCTTCTGGCTGCTGAAACCAACCGTGTCTTTAGTGTCCAAATGTGCTACTGAAACCAACTGTATCTTGATGGAAGTGTTTCTAATCACATGGGAGAAAATCTCATTGTAGTCAACCTATTTCCTTGAGTAACCCTTTACTACCAGACGAGCCTTGAACTTTCCCTCTTTTTCTGATACTGCTTCTTTCGTCTTATACACCCATTTGCATCTTATTGTCCTCTTTTCTAGATTATTGTCCTTTTCCTCTAGAAGCTCCACCAATTCCTATGTCTGATTTTTATGCAGAGACTCCATCTCCTTTACTATAACACCTATCAATCTACTCTTCTTTTTGTTGTGCAAGCCTTTTGAAAATTAGTAGACCTCGTTAGTGGTATAAGTGCATAAGAAACTGAATCTTTAAAATCATACCTAGTCGGTGGCCTGATATTGTGTTTATGCCTGTTTGTAGCTATACATTAATGATTATAATCTTCTGAGCTATAACTCTGCATTATGGACACCGTCCTTTCTAACATGAGTCTCTAGTTCCATCTGCACCATATGCTCATTGCTGCTGCAATTTTCTGACACCTGCTTCTCTTATCCCTGAGTACACTACAATGTGAATTTCTCATCAAAAATCACATCTCTACTCATCATCTCCTTGTTTGCCTTTGGAATCCAAAGCTGGAACCCCTTCACCCCTTTCTGATACTCTAAAAAGATACACTATCTAGACTTCGCATCAAACTTCGATATCTCCTCACTAGAAACATGTATGTAGGTTGGACATCGAAATACTCTCAAACCTAAATATATATTGACTTTCTAGTTCAACCAAACTATTGCCAGTGATTCCTTATCCTTGATGTGATACATCACGCCATTAGTTAGACAAAGCTTGATAGTCGTCACAGTCTTCGCTTCAAGTTTGTTCATAACTCTGTTATCCATGCCTTCTTTCCATATCACGCTTTGACCATGCCTTGATGCATTGAATTTTTATATTTGAAAAAGTTTTCAGTGAGGATTTTTTGAACTAGATGGCAGTAGATGGTTGTTGATAAGGGAATCCTTGATCATAATTTCCAGTATTCATACCGCTTCCAACATGAAACTTGCAATTGGTACTAAGAAACACACAAGTTTATGTGGTTCAACAGTAGGCCTACATCCATGAGAGCGTAAACGGCTCCACTTCCCTCAATCCACTCCTGCATCAGCTTTCTTTCCCAGTATACATGTGTTCCACTCGATATGAGACACGTACTCCAACACCCTTGAAATTTGTACCCAAATTTTATGAATTTGTTTAACCTTGATTTCGAATAATTTCTGTCAATTTTTTTTCTTGGTATTTACATGTACCTTTTGTTGTTCAGGCCCCCGACTGTGGTTTGTCAAAAGAAGAGGAGGATGCCCGATGAGGAAACACAACTAATCAACTCAAAGAAGCAAGCCAGCACAACGTAATCTTTTTTTGTTATCTCCTTTCGTATGCAATAGGACCAGTTGGAGAGTAATTAATCCTAAGTACTTGGTTGAAGCTATGTTGAAGCATTCATAAATGTCTTATCTTTTCATGATTTCAAGATGATCTGAACGCTGGTTTAGTTTTAGACAATGTATTTCACAGTTCTGGTTTTCAGTAGAAAAGAGATTGTTGTACCTGAATGGTTTTCATTGACTTGTGCTTGCATTGATTTCATTGTGTCTGCATACAGGGGCATAGAGGGGTGGAGGCAGAAGTTTAAAATTAGCAGGCAAAATCGAACTTGTAAAGAAGTTGTGTCCAAAAAAATCATACCCTATGTAATTTTGCATCCGAAAATTTACATGGGATATGACTCTTTTTAATGTAAAATTTCGAAAATTTTTGATGTGATATTTCATATAAAATTTTCTAATAAAATGATGAAAATTATATTGAGAAATTTGTATCGCAAAAATAATAAATGATAATTAAATAATTGAATTTTTTTAAAGAAAATGCGAGTTAGACGTTTTTCTTTAAAACTCACGTTTAATGTATCTTTAACTATTTCGATATCTGTTTGGACTATTCGATATATTTATAATGTAGTCCTTGAAATAAGTTTTGAGATGAAATAGACAATTTGTAGATTCGATTAGCGTACGATTATCAGAGAATTTTTAAAGTTAGCATGTTATCGAAATTTTCGAAATACTAATTTTGGACTGTCTACTTTGACAAGTCGTAACATTTGCTACGATTGATCGTTTCGTACACTATTAACGACGTAGAAAACTAGATCGTGAGTTCTACGAAATTGTATTAAGAATGTAATATTTCGAATTCGTTTCACATCCCATAATGATTTCGAAAATTGAAAAAAAACATAAAAAATTTAATGGTGAAAAAAGGGAGCAAAGTTGGGGGTTCAGTGACCCCCATGCCACCCACGTCCGTCCATGCCTGCATAGACAGTTGAAGAGTAAAATAGACAGTTGTAAACGTTTTCAATTCATTAGATATACAAGAATCTGTCTATTATTATTTCGTATTTACACTACACATGTACAACAAATAATCATATCATTCCACCTACGGCTTGTTTCCTTTGAGTCGAAAGTTTTCAAGCAACTGATTTCTGGTATCTAAAATTTGAGAAAACAGAGATTTTGTTTGCTTCTCGATTTCCTGCAGTGAATTCTCTAGCACGACCAATCTTCTCTTCAGTTCCTTAGCGGCCTCATTGCATCTTGCAGTAGATAATTCCGCGGCAAGGTGCATGGCTGCATCATTGACCTCTCTTACCTCTTCAATTGCACCTGGTTTTTCATTAATCTCTTCGCAAAATCTTGAATTCAGGCAGTCTGTGTTAGAACCATTGGATTTTTTTGTTCCAACGCCCGATAATATTGCATCTAGCACCCAAAATTCAATGTTTTTCATTGCTGACAAAGCTTGAAGAATTACAAATTCCTTTTCAAAACAAGATTTTTCTTCAATCCCAGATAATAATTCTTCCACTTTAAAATCCTCTCCAAGTTTGATACTACTACTGCATTTTGGTTGGATTTGCTGCAGATTTTTCTTTGCAGAAGAAGGGGACTTTTCAACCAGGCTCAAAGCATAGAAAAGGGAAATCTTAGCCTGATTCAAATGGGAAATGGAAGAGCTAACAGAATTCAAATTATCCAAGACCTGTAAACTGTATTTGAAAAACTCTTCAGTGGCAGCGCCACCCCATGCTGTCATGGGGTAGTCTATTTCCACCACCAGCCTAGCAAAATCTTTGTTAACCATATCCAACACACCAAAACATTTTTGAACCCATGCCAAGGACAGAAACTCTGATCCTTCTACAGGCTTCAACAAGATTTGGCTAGTAATATTCGATATTTTGGACCGAAAAACGTTTATAGAAGCCGATAAGGCTCCCGAATTTGGGTTGTGATTTTCCAGCCTGGAGGGGAATTTGAGTGAACGGCCAAGCCTTTGTACCAAGAGTACTACCATGGCAAACAGAAATCCGAAAGAAAGTACTGGTTTTTGGTATGTTGCTTGTGCCATTTATATATGGTGCAGTGAACAAGTGGGACAACACTTGTATCCGTATTGTTTAGGCAAAGAATTGTCTGTAATTATAAATTATAAGCAAGTGGGACAACAAATGAAAGTTTGAAGCAAAAGGAGCGGATTGGTTGTGTAGTCAAATACCGTGTGCATTTTTACTTGGACAGTTTCATTCAAACACGCTTTTGGCGACAAGTTGATACCATGGTGCTTCGTTTGCAAGATTTAGGAGCACAATTGAAGGTTACCCATTAAATAATTATTTCTTGTGAAGTTGAAAGAAGTCATGGATAGGGATTTGAAGTCCGTGTGTATATTAAAGATAAGAATAAATCCTCACTTACAGAGGATTTGTTCACAGGGGCCTTACAGGCACCTCACAAGGGGCCGGGCCCCACATGTATATATATAAAAAAATTGTGCGGATCCCACTATATGTATTGTTTGTACAACATCTGTAAAAAAAAATTTTGTACACCAAGGGGGTTCTAAAGATAAGTATTTAAGATAGTGGGATCAAAGGTCTTACCTACTGCTATGGATAAGAAAGTTTAAAAAGACAGAATTTCTATATAAATTTCGAAAATATATATATTTGGGTCAAGGATGGGCTCTTGATCACTAGAGCCTAGAGGGAATTGTCTTTGCTGGCCTGCCTGGCCAACCTCCATGTCTTGGTACTCCACCCTCCCATTCATAAGTTGTCATCGCAGGTAAGTAAAAGAAGCGAGAATCACTAAATGCAGTTCAGTTGACATGATCTAAACTAGTGCTAGTTGGACTATATATATGTATTATACTTTATTTATTTAATTATTTTTTAGCTTTTCAGTTTTCCTTATCTCTCGTGTCGTTGAACTGCCTTGAAAAGAATTAGAAATACGTTTATCTGTTACATAATAAACCGCCTTCGCTGGCCAACCCCTTTGTCTTGGTACTCCACCCTCCCATTCATAAGTTGTCATCGCAGGTAAGTAAAAGAAGCGAGAATCACTAAATGCAGTTCAGTTGACATGATCTAAACTAGTGCTAGTTGGACTATATATATGTATTATACTTTATTTATTTAATTATTTTTTAAAAGGTAGGACAACCATGTCATGGTCTGTGCCAGGTCGATTGGTCTAGAAAGGGCCATTTTCGAGTCTGATCAACATTTATACATTTAGCTTCGCACGCAAATATGTACTAATCTTAGATTTAAATTGGAAATGTTGTGATAAATGAAGAGACAGACTTGAAGGGGATGTATGATATTTTGCAAGTCATGCTCTAATCTCGGATAAAAAATTGGACCAAAATTTAAAAATTCTACAATTTTCCTCCGAAGCTTCTGATAAAGCTCGGAAAGATTTTTGCAGTCTTGATATCTACAATATCTATGCTTCTTTATGCTCTTCCACCCTCACCATCAATTCGAGGCGGAACAAACAAGATATCAAAATTGCTTTGATATCAATTGTTATGAATTTGGATCGAGTGATAATGACGATTGTTAGGCAAATTGTTGTTAAACGACCTCCCTGATAGATGATGTAAGTATCGTTTATTTCAGTCGGTATCGACCAAATGACTGAATGTATATCGACACTACAATTGGTAAGCCAATCATATAATCCACTTGGGCCATTTGAAATAACTTAATTAAATTAGTGCTGCTCATAACCCAACCTAAAACTTGGATGGCTTTTATCTGGTTGACAACCCACTTATTTCCTATTGGGCCTATTTGTGTTCTAACCCTAAAAGCTTATACCCAATTCTTATATATATTTGATGCCCGTTACTGTTGCAAAATAAGGTGAATACCGTTAGCCCATGCTTGAGAGAAAAACGACATTCTTGGCTATGTCTTTTCTTCCTTGGCTGTGTGCCTTTTGTGCTCGATTTTTTCCCCTTCTCCTTTAGCCTTTGTGGCTAATCCTTGTGGTTATTATATTCTCCATTTTCAGTCCTTGGTGGGCAGAAATTGTAGAGCAACCGTTTGGGAAAAATTGGTTTGTGATTTGGTTCATGAATTGTGGTGATCGATTCTATTCATTGATCCCGAATTCTTGGTGTTTTGGAGTTCATTAAACAACAACGATAATGAAATAAATAAGAAGAAAATAAACACAAAAAATTTTGGTGGAAACCCAATACGGGAAAAAAATCATGGGCAGAGGATGAGAAATCCTCTATAATCAATAGTAATTGATTTACAAGATCTCAATCTAAAGTTCTCAAGATGTTGTATAGAACAAGTTGTGGAAGAATATGAGTTCAAAATAGCGTCAAAACTTGTCACTCGAGTGACAGGCGAGCGATAGGTGGGCGATAGTCCCGTTGCTCGAGCGACAAGGCAAAGCCGACGAGCAATCAAGTCTTAGGTTGTTTTCTTCGGGACTCGCTCGAGCGTCCAGCTACCGCCAAGTTAGCAAAAATGCTGCGACTTTTTCCTCCGATCTATAATTTTGATCTCTTCAAGACCACTCCAATTTAGACTCCAGTACCCACTAAAATTTGGGTCAAACCGCAACAAATCTCCACCTTGAACCAATTCAACACAAGGAATTCCAAATCACGACTCCATCAATAAACACCACTCTCCCTATTCCAAACTAAGCCCCAATGGACTAAATCAATGACAAACACCCACTAAGTTCAAGTAATGTTCAAACTTAGTAATATAGAGTGATTTTGTTATCATATCAGCAGGATTATCCTCGATATCAACCTTGTTCACTACAATATCACCACGAGAAATCACATCACGCACAAAATGATACATCACATTAATGTGCTTAGTCCTCTCATGAAATAACTAATCCTTAGTCAAGAAAATTTCACTCTAACTTCCACAAAATATTGTAGATATCTGCAAGTTTTCACTAATCTCACCAATTAATCCTCTCAGCCACATAGTCTCCTTACATGCCTCTATAATGACCATATATTCTTTTTCTGTTGTAGACAAAGCTACTGCATTTTGCAAAGTAGCTTTCCAACTGATAGCACGATATCCAAGGTAAACCCATATCTTGTAAATGATCTCTTCTTATCAAGATCCCCTGCATAATATGAATCCACATGCCTAATAACTCAATTCGAATTTCTACCAAAATGTAAACAAACATTAGAAGAGCCCCTTAAGTATCTGAAAATCCACTGTACTGTTTTCCAATGTTCCTTGCCAGGATTTGTCATGTATCTGCTAACTGCATGTGTCAAATCAGGTCTTGTACAAATCATAATATACATTATCGAACCAACTGCACTGGAATAAGGAACCTAGACATGTAATCAATGTCTTCATCTGATCGATGATACAAGTTAGATGATAATTTAAAGTGAGCAACCAATGGAGTACTGACAGCTTTCACATTCATCATATTGAATCTTTCAAACACCTTCTCAATGTATTCCTTCTGACTCAAATACAATATGCAAGCCTTTTATCTATCAAGATTTTCATACCAAGAATCTACTCTACTACACCCAAATCCTTCATATCAAACTCCTTACTGTGTTGAAACTTCACTTTTCTGGCATTTGCTTTATCTTTGGCTGCTATGAGCATATCGTCAACATTTAATAATAAATATGTAGTCGATCCACTATCTTCCTTTTTGAAGTGCATACAACTATAATAATTACAGCTGAAGAAATCATGAGTAGTCATGAACGAATCAAACCTCTTATACCACTGCCTCGGTGACTGCTTTAATCCATACAAGGACTTCTTCAACAAGTACACATAGTCTTCTTTCCCAGAGACCGTGAACCCCTCTGGTTGTTGCATGTAAATGTTCTCCTCAAGTTCTCCATGTAAGAATGCTGTCTTGGCATCCATCTATTCAAGCTCCAAGTCATTCTTAGCCACCACTCCAAGTAAAGCCCGGATGGGATTATGTTTTACAACTGGTGAGAACACATCTGTAAAGTCAACACCTAGAATCTGACTGTAGCTTTTTGCCACCAATCTAGCCTTGTATCGGCATCTTCAATCCCTGATGTGCTTTCCTTTCTTTTGAATACCCATTTGCAGTGAACAATCTCTTTACCTTTAGGTAATTTCACCAAATCTCAAGTGTTATTTTTGCTCAATTACTCAATCTCCTCCTACATAGCAATCAACCATTTGCTAGAATCACTGCAACTGACTGTCTCTGAATATGTAGCAGGCTCTTAAATGAAATCAATGTCTTCAACTACACTTAATACATAAGCTACCAAATCTGCTTCCCATACTTCTGTGGAGGTCTAATTTGTCTGTGACGTCTATCCTTAGCTATTGAATATTGTGGTACTGGTGGTGTAAGCAAAGTAGGCAAGATATTACTATCAGTCAACCCCGAACCGGATTGATCTGTGGGTTTGCAATCTCTGATTGTTCCTCTGAACCAATTTCCAACTCTATCTGAGTTGAATGATTTCGCTCCTCAATTTTATCAGAATCCCCAAGAAGTGAACCACGAACCATAACAAGTTCATCAAATACTACATCTCTACCAACAACCACGTATCTTGTCTCAGTTACCATAATTTATATCCTTTCACACTTGATTTATACCCAAGAAATATGCACTTTCTAGACATAGGCTCCACCTTTCCACTATCCACATGAGCATGAGCATAAGCAGGCCACCTAAAAATTTTCAAATCAGAATAACAAGAAGGTTTATCAAACCATACTTCTTTTGGTGTCTTTTTATCAATGGTAGCTGAACCACTACCAACAAGTAATAATGGCCTCATTTTGATGATACCCTGGTCGGTTCCCAAAGATTTGAATGGATATAATCAAGCGTTCCCTTCGTGTTGTATCTTCTTTTGGTGAATCTGACTCTTTTCTGTTTCCCAAAGACACAATGCTCACAAAAAATTATTTTGCTGGTCTTCTTCCCATTAAGAAGTCTCATTCTACTCAACTCTACCATGTCGTTCTCACCCATATGCCCGAGCCGCATATGCCAAAGTTTTGTAATTTCATCATTTATCAAAGAAGAAGTAGAAATTGCTGCATCCTCAATTACTGTGGAACCATGCCAAATGTACAACCGTGTAGAGCTTTTATGTCCCTTCATGATAACAGAACACCTCGGCTCACATTCAAAACTCCATCTTCACCAGTGTATCTATAACACTTTGAGTCAACTGCACTCAAAGATATGAGCTTCCGCTTCAGTTCTGGAACATACCTTACATCCGTAAGAGTTCTGATAGCCCTATAGAACATTCTGATTTTGATCGTACCAACTCCGAAAATTTTGCAAGGTGCGTTGTTTCCTATAATAATTGCACCACTCGAAACTCTTTCATATGTTGAAAATCAGTTCATGTTGGGACACATATGAAAAGTACTAGCCAAGTAAAGAACTCATTCCTCATATTGTTAAGAATCCATGTCAGAAATCACAAGAAACTCTCCTTATCTTCCACAACATTAGCCTCCGCTGTATTAACATGTTGCTTCATTTTCTCAGTAGTACCAACAGCTTTATTTTTTTTTCAAGGCATAGCAATCATCTCTAATAAGCCACTACTTCTTACAATAGTGACATGCTCGTCTAGATTTCGATCCGTCCATCATATTTCTGCCAAAATTTCTATCTTGATTTTTTCCACGCACAACCAAGTTTTCAGCATGATTCCCAAATTCTCTAGGAAGTTGCATCATCTTCTTTTAGATAGTAAAGCATCATAGACATCTTCCATGGTGAGAGTATCCCGACTATAGAGAATAGTATCTCTAAAAGTCACATATGATGACGGCAAGTCCTCCTCGTCATACTTAACTTCAATGTTTCCCAATCGGCCACAATTTCTTTGAACCTAGTTAAGTGATCTTCTAATGACGCACCTTTAGACATCCGGTAAGAATACAAGCGCTGTTTCAAGTTTAGCTTGCTGGTCAAGCTCTTTGTCATGCAAAATTGCTCTAACTTCAACCACAACGCAATGACACTTCTCTCCTTTAGAACATCTTAAAGAATTTGATTCGAAATATATAGATGAATTTGAGATTGGGCTTTTTGATCCCTACGCTGCTTTTCATCCTGCGTCCAGTTAGCAGACATCCTATCAAAGTCAAGCAATGCTTCCTCCAAATCCATCTGCGCTAGAACCGCTCACATCTTCACTTGCCATAAGGTAAATCTCATGTTTTTATCCAACAATGGGATATCATACTTGATTGTTACCTAGCGAAACAATCAACCTTACTCTGATAACACTTGTTTGTTCCATAACAACTTCATAAGTAAATTTTAAATTAATTCTTATGTTGAATAATTTTCCAAAAACTGGATATGACGACTGAAAAAATGTGTCACGTGCAGATAATGAATTTGAGAAATGTTACTTGTACAGAGGATTTGTACAGACAGCATGACAAATGCATCCGTCGTTGGATTTGAAAAACTGTTATTCAAATCCATGTGTAGATGCACGCGTGGCGTGCATATGTAAAGCTATCTGTACATATAGCAAAATTCAATGAAAAACCATGCCACTCATGCATACCTGAATCGGCCTGACGTTCAAGTGGAACTCCATGCCAGTGTTACCAAACTTCAATATACTTGGCATACTTGGCAACCATGCAGGTTCGGTTAAAGAATCATTCTTTTTTATTATTTATTTATTTATATATTTATCATATTTTGAAGGTGAAATTTCCATTAGTCGATCAGAAAAAGCCCAATGTTGATTTTCTCTTTTGTAAGGATAAAATTTTAACTTTCCTAGAAAATTGCAGCGATATCATCAAGAAATGTGAATATTAAGGATACCAATAACTTTAACGAAGTATTCTATTAATTACATTAAAACTTCTTGTAATCCTTGGTTCCTAGGTGGTGAGAAACAATAATATTAAAAGTTTTTTTTTCAATAAATATTTATCTCTCATAGTTCTCAAATTAACAATAAATACTTTCCTTGATTGATGGACTTCCAAACGCACGCGACACTTATTTTTCTTCCTTATAAGTAATCTTTATACCAATTTAATACTTGATACTACATTATTCATCATAAACAATTATACTAATTATTTTAAAATAAAAAAATTGGTTGACAAAAATACTTTTGTAGATGGATTCTATAAATGGATAATTAATTTGATTGACCAATTTAAATGACATTGTTATGTAAACGGCACAAAATTAGATGTTCACATTCCAAGAAACGGATCCTTATACCACGTTCTTGGCCAAAAATCTTGATGCAGATTGAGATTAAATTATTACAAATATTTATGCCGCTTGACTAAATGAGTGGTAGGCCCATAATTTAATTAGAATTATGCTTCTACGCCATAGAGATTCACATCATTTTTGATAGAATATTATATGATATTTTATCATTAGACTGTCTAAAACACGGTCAATTTTTTCATCCAATCATATCTTGCCAACACTTATTATGTCAAGGCATTTGTCGATATCTTTCTGGAAAGGTAGCATTATTTATTATTCAACAAGAAAATCATATATTCATATAAAACCTTATGAATAAAAAAGAGAGAAACTTCCATACAATCATGAAGAGCAAAACCACTCAGATTCTTGTCTTGTTCCATTTATTTTTAACATGTTTTATCAATCAGAGTTCTGGAAAGAAGCAAAACGAAGCTCTTTCCCATTTATACAATGAAAAGTTCAGGAAAAATACAGCAGCCATTGACAGAAGCCAATTCAGTGCAAGTAGTTATATTAATGGAGCAGAAATTCATCCTCAAAAAGGGACGAAAAAGAAGGATAGGATTAGGAGACTGCCTGGACAACCGCAAGTTGGATTCAGACAGTACGGGGGATACATTACAGTGAATAAAACAGCAGGTCGAGCATTTTATTATTACTTGGCAGAGGCTGATGAGCATTCGAGGAAGTCATTGCCTCTTCTTGTTTGGCTTAATGGAGGTATTTCAATTCATTCATTCTTGAATCTTGATTTTATTTATTGTTTGATGATTTCATTTGTCATTTGTGTGAAGTGGCTATGATTTCATATTCAATCAATGTAAGATATTTTATATATTAATTTGATGTCGACTTGAGTTGACGAGTACATGGTTGAGTATGCCATTTTAACATGAGTATACTTGATTTAACCCATGTTTGATAGTGATTTTAATCTAGATTTTTATCAAAGTCAAAGTCAAAGTCAAAGTAAATAATTAATTTTAATTATATATTTCATGGGTCCCACAACTTTTCAATCACAGATTTCATCAATTTTCATCAGAATCTGCTAAGAAAATTTGATTTTTTATCTCCAACAAACAGGGGATTAATTAATAAAAACATGTTGACATCTACTATTGAGAAAGAATAATTATTTTGTTGTAATTAAGAATCTTGTTGTCAATGTTATGTCGAAGAATAATGCTACATGTACAGGGAAACTTTCACAGAATTTTTACAGGCTTCCACTTGACGTAGTTTCATCATTGGCAGAAAAAAAAAAAAAAAGTACGAATTAGGTGTCGCCAACAAAGTACCTGTAAAGTTAATTTAAGGAACAACCTTGTACTTATGGTTTTTCTTATATTGAATTCATTGTTATACGGACGATAAGATGTCAGTACTTAATAATTATTTTTGAATGAACCTTATTTCACTTTTGATATGTTCGTAAGAAATTAAGTCATATTTGAAAATTCTGTTGCTTTAGATCTTTCAGCAAACAAATAAAAAAATGAAATGAAAAAAGAGATTAATAATAAAGTTTTGTTTGTTGCTGTCGAACATATTCTTTGATTACTTAAACACCTATTTCGAAACTTTTTTCATTTTTCTTTTCTAGGCCCTGGTTGTTCTTCACTTGGATATGGAGCAATGCAAGAGATTGGACCATTTCGAGTTCACAGTGATGGAAAAACACTGTACAAAAACAAACTTGCATGGAATCATGGTTTGTAATCTTATACTCTATTAACACTTACTGTTAAACTAGATAAACTCGATCTTCATTCATGTGTCTTGACTTCTTCTCAGCTGCAAATGTGTTATTTTTGGAGTCTCCAGCTGGTGTAGGGTTTTCATATTCAAACATGACGACGGATTTCGTTAAAGGCGGAGATAGAAGAACAGCTATTGATAATTATATCTTTCTACTTAATTGGCTCGAGAGATTTTCAGAATATAAAGATCGAGATTTCTATATTTCTGGAGAGAGTTATGCTGGTCATTACGTACCCCAACTAGCACTTACAATCCTTCATCACAATAAGAAAGCCAACAAGACAATTATCAATCTCAAAGGAATCGTTGTAAGTTCCTTTATTTAAACTCTAATTATGTCAGATTTTTCTAATTCAGCATAGATAAAATATAGCTATTTGTTCATATTTTTTGGTAAATGAAATTTATATGTATGAGATGCATTAGACATAAGAATCTGCATCTTAGAAATATTTGCTTTATTCACAAGTTTTTATCGTTTGTTAATTTTATATATTTTAAGTGAATTTTAAACATTTTTGACTACTGAAAAAATGACTTTTTAACATTACAAATATTTAAATCATTTAACAATGTTAGCACGGCTAACTTTACACGGTTCCATGATAGTTTCAATACCGATATAAGTTTTGTGACTTAACTATTGGATGTGGAAATTTAATCATCACAATAGGAAATTAATTTTCATTTGAAGATTAAATCCAAATGCATGGTGAATCTTAGATTACATTGAGATCATATGATATTTTTATTTAAATCCTCACACATAAAGGTGAGATGATAACTTTGAAGGAGCTTTTAATGGCCAGCCAAATGCTTCCTCCCTTAGATCTTCTATTTTGTGCTCCTTAGGTGTTTCTCCCTTCTTTTGGGAAAATGGAAAATGGCTAAACCCCTAATACTTGCCAAATGTGCCCTTAAAAGGCATATTTATAACACACAATTAGAGTTTTATATTTGCACAAATTTCCTTAGACTTTATTGTCGTAGACCAATTAAGTCACACACCTTTATTGAAACCAAAAGAGAGACCTAACCCGACTCACAAGACTCAAACTCCAATAGATGTTTCTAATTGGGTCAACTCTTAACCAATTGAGATACATCTATTAATCTTGCCTTACTCTACCAAAAAATCGGAATTGCACTATTGAGTCGAGTAAAAGTTATGGAAGCCAATTATGATTCGATAACATTATCCTTCGACCACCATTTCACAAATCAACCCCTCATTTGTCTGTCAACATGTTGAAGTCGACAAAATTATTGTTTTGCCCTTCAATATGTATTACCCTCTAAGTCCCATTTCATAAGGCGAATTTGTTGTGATCACATCACAACACCAAGTCCAACGATCTCATTGTCGAACTACTGAGCTCATGTTCAATTCCATTTAGAAAATACCTTAGAGTGACGATCGTCTCATCATGATGATTAACGAATTCCACTATTGCATGCATATGATCTCTAACTGCTTCGCCCAGATTTACAAAGCACCGAGATTGATCTTCTAATTGAGATTTTACTCATTGGTACCTCAAAGACCTTGAACTAGCAATTAAAGGTACATTATTTTCTCAGGATTGAGGTGACTTGTTCGATAATCGAGTGGTGTCTCATTTCGAGAGGTCACAAATGAGTCATCCACGCAGCCCAGTTCAATGTGCTTCAAAACACGTTTTTGTTCTTATTCCTAGATCTAGACATCTTAATAAGAACAATGGAATCTTATCAACATAAAGCGTCAAACTTCATGTACCGATTGTGAACGACATATTTTGATCATATAACGAATTGTGTCTCACTATACCCAAATTGTCGAGTATACAATTTGTTATATTTCATATGATCATGGAACCTTAGATTATTATCGTAAGTTCTAACACACGAATGATTGAACGTTAATTCATAATGTCGTTACAATATACTTACCACAAAAAAGGGCATCAAACTAACAATCTCCAACTTGCCCTTTTAAAGTATATGTGACATATCAATAATACTCATCCTCTCAAGAGGCTCATCAAAAACCTTAGCTGGTAAGCTCTTGGTGAACGGATCCGCAAGATTATCAGCTGATGCAATCTTGCTAACTGTTACGTCTCCTCGATGAATAATCTCTCTAATAAGGTGGTATTTCCTCACAATGTGCTTGCCACGCTGATGACTCCTTGGTTCTTTAGCATTGGCAACCGCTCCACCACAATAAAGTGTTATGGGTTCCATTACCAAAGTACTACGTCAAGGTCCAAGAGAAACTTTTTGAACCATACAGCCTCTTTAGTAGCTTCACAAGCGGCTACATACTCTATCTCCATGGTATAATCAGCAATACAAGATTGCTTAATACTCCTCCATACCACGGCTCCACCTCCCAGAGTAAATACTAAACCCTATGTGGACTTTCTAGAGTCACGATCGGATTGAAAGTCGGAATCAGTATACCTAATAGGATTTAGATCATGTCCTGAATAGACGAGCATATAGTCTCTCGTTCTCTGAAATACTTGAGTATATGCTTCACCACTATCCAATGTTCTGGTCTTGGATTAGACTGATAGCGACTAACAATATTCACAGCAAAACAAATGTCCGATCTAGTGCAAAGCACAGAATACATAAGGCTTCCCACAGCCGAGGCATAAGGAACCTTCTTCATGTAATCTATCTCTGTCGGATTCTTAGGAGAATGCTCCTTAGATAGATGAATTCCATGTCTAACAGGGAATTGTCCCTTTTTGGAATTCTGCATTGCGATATTTTGTTAATGTATGAAGCTTGGGATAATGCTATCCTTTTATTTTTCCTATTTTGCAAGATACGAATTCCCAAAACATAACTAGCCTTTCCTAAGTCCTTCAAATCAAACTGTTGTGACAACCATTTATTTACGGATGACAATGTCCCTACATTATTTTCGATGAGTAGAATGTCATCCACATAAAGAATCAGAAAAACTACTTTCTTCCCTTGCACACGCTTGTATACACAGGGTTCATCCAGATTTTGGTCAAAACCATATGTCTTAATGGTTTGATCAAATCTGACATTCCAGGACCTGGATGCTTGCTTAAATCCATAAATGGACCTCTGCAACTTGCAAATTTTCCTTTCATGACCTTCTCTTACGAACCCTTCAGGTTGTATCATGTAGATAGTCTCGTCAAGACGCACATTCAAAAAAGCTGTCTTAACATCCATTTGCCAAATCTCATAATCATAATGAGCGGCAATAGATAAAATGATTCAATAGATTTAAGCATGGCAACTGGTGAGAAGTTTTCTTCATAGTCGACACCTTCTCTTTAGATAAAACCCTTGGCCACTAGCCTTGCTTTGAAGGTTTCAACCTTCCCATCTATACTTCTTTTCCTTTTATAGACCTACTTGCACCTTATAGGTTTGAACCCATTAGGTGCATTCACAAGATCCCAAACCTTGTTAGAATACATAGATTCCATGTCTGAGTTCATAGCAGATTTCCATGATTCAAAGTCTACATCCTCCATTACTTCCTTAAAAGAAGTGGGATATTCTTCTTGTTCAGTAGAGATCGCCTAATAGGATTCTGCATAGAGCAAGTATCTAGAAGGTGGTCTAACAATGCTCCCACTACGAGTAATGGTTGAAGGTTCTTGATTGTCCAGTCTGACCGAAGACCCTTCATCTTCTTCCACTGCTTGGTCATGTCCTTGGTCAGGACCAACCTTCTCATAATCCCCATTGTGATGGGTGTGTAGAGGTGCATCAATGGGTGCATTAATGGGTGCCTCCAAAAGAGTTTGATTTCTCCTTTTCGAGACACCATTTTGTTGGAGAGTTCTTGGTGCACTTAGTTGGGATAATATTCCATTATCCGATAAATAGACCTTAAACTCTTGGGATAGATATTCGCTACCTCGATCAGATCGAAGAGCCTTGATACTCTTATCCAATTGTTTCTCAACTTCCGTCTGAAACTCCTTGAATTTCTCCAAAGCTTCAGATTTACATAAGGTATATATATATCCAAATCTAGAGTAATCATCCGTAAAGTTAATGAAGTACTTAAATCCTCATCTAGCCCGAGTACTGATGGGTCCACAAACATCGGAATGTACCAATACCAAAACTTCTTTAGCTCTTAGTCTTTTAGCCTTAAAAGGCCTCTTGGTCATCTTTCCTTCTATACAAGATTCACATGTTGGTATAGATTCTACATCTAACTCATTTAAAGGTCCATTCTGTACCAATCTTTGGATCCTGTTTAGATTAATATAACCCAACCTAAGATGCCATAAGAGAGTTTCATTGGTTCTAGACGATCTTTTATAGAGCTAATCATAGGACTTAAGACACAGAGATTATTAACTATATGACCCGAACATATAACATAATTATTCAACTTGATAACCACCGTAGAACGGCTAAAAAGTACCGAATAACCAACACGGTATAAAAGCACAACGAAAACCAAGTTCTGTGTAAGTTTGGGAACATAATAATGTTATCCAAAATCAAATGTCTACGATTCTCAAAACATAAAGTAGAGGTGCCAACAGCTTTGGTGGATACTACAGCTCCTGTGCCGACTCTGAGAGTGTACTCCTCTTCACTGAGGTGCTTAGTTTCGTGGAACCCCTGCAAAGAATTGCATACATGATTAGTGGCTCCAGAATCTACAATTCAAGTCCTAGTAAAATCAATCACTAAACATGACTCAATGAATAGGACATTGCCTTTACCTTGCATCCTCTTAGCTAGGTTATCCGGGCAGTTCATCTTCCAATGTCCCTTTTGTCCACAAGAAAAACACTTTCCTTTTGGTTTCCCATCGGTAGTGGTTTTCTTTCCCTTTGACTTGCCATCTTTCTTTTTGCTTGGCCTCTTCCTCTTGATTCCTCATTTGCCACTAGCTCTTTCATTAATTCCGTCAGAGATATGTCCATCTTGTGTAGATTATAATCAACTATGAACTGTGAGAACATCTCAGGGAGAGTCTCAAGGACTATGTCAATCTGTGTCTCGGAATCAATGTTAGCTCCTAAAAACTCTGCAGCATTGAAGTGACCAATCATGGTTAACATATGATCCCTCACAGACGTGTTTGGTTTCATGCACGTCTTCATAATTGCCTTAATGGAAGCTTGCCTAGCTTGTCGGCTTTGATGTCCAAACATATCTTGAAGACTTTCCATTATGTCAAAAGCGGTTTCAATATTATGATGTTTCCGTTGCAACACATTTGACATGGATGCCAAAATGTAGCAACATATCATCTCATCATAATGACGCCACTTTTCATATGCAGCCTTTTGAGATTCTGTGGAATCATCTTTAGAGGGTTCGGGACAAATTTCAGTCCTCACAAATTTGTGTTTTTCGATGATACGAACAATGTTAAGATTTCTTTTCTAGTCAACGTATTTTTCTCCCACAAGTTGATTTTTGTTAAGCATCACTGATAATGGATTAAGCGACATTTTTCTGAAAAAATTAACGATTCGCATATTAATTAAAATGAACAATAATGTTTGTATGATGCATGTACATGAGTATGTGAATATAGACCAAAAAACTATATTTTTTAAATCAAAGACCTTAAACCCTTACAACTTTAAAGACGCCCTCTATAGGAGATCAATGTAGTTGACAACAAGGTTGGGACCCTCCCACTCATTTTATTGATTTAGGCATCTCATGCCACAATGTAATGAAGATTGATTATTATTTGGCATATGAATAACTTTGTTGGAACCTTTTATAGGAAGTCCTCAAAAAATATTCATATATAAGTGTAATAACCTCCGTCAATAATTTTAAAATATCCGAAATACGTGAGATGCTATCTATAGGATAATCACCTCATTATTCCATTTTAAAATTTCTATTACAAGATCCAATTTCTGTTAATCTAAAATATTGTCGTTTTCCCATAGGGAGACCGATGTAATTCGATACTAAACATACATATTTTAATAACAAATTAGATGATGGAGGAGGCCGTGGGTTTATACATGCATATAAACCCTCTCTCACTCATTATTTTAAAAATATGAGTTTTCATTAATAATTACTCGGCCAAATATAAACAATTATAATGACACCAAATTATTATTAATAATCTTCCGTCACTTCTAATTAATTTAGAGTGATAAAAAATTATTTAGTATTAATGCATATGATTTTAGTGTACTGGGTGGTGTTTCATTTAATTTAGATGACATGTAATAATCATATATTCATTCATCATCCATAAAGCGATAAAAGCAATAATTGAATGAATAATAATTACTTATGGCTTATCCTAAGAATTAAAATTACAACAAAAATTAAAGTATTCTATTGGGCCACATTCCGGCCCAATTCTTCAATTTCATTGTAGTCCAATCCATGCTTCCAAGTGTGTGTCAATTTAATTTTTGAGTACCAATATTAAATAACAAGAAAGTCCTTATCCAACAAGATTTGCCCAAGTTTTCAAGAAAAGCCCAAAAAATCAAAAGTGAGTCCAAATGGTAGAAACCCTAGCAAAACACATTTGTACCACCTCCACCACCATCTTTGGTGACGGCGTCGACAACCTCAAAAAGACTGCCACCACCGCTCCAGTAGCAGCCACGACTGCTGCACACTCAACAGTCATGGCTACTGCTTCCAGCAGCACCAGATGCTGCCTCGCACTGCTAGAAGCAGCAACAAGCTGCTGCACTATTCAGTAAGAGTAACAGTAGCAGTAGCTGCTGTAGCCGGCGGCTGCCGCCTTCACTTGGTGGTATATAATTTTTTTGTTTTTCTGGTTCATACATCTTCATCTACATGCTCTTCTTCCAACAGTAACTTCATACCATGAGTTTTTCTTCTTCAAAATACATATGCCTCAAAATAAATAAAAACCCTTGTGCCTTATGGCTTCGAAATTTTCTAGATAAAAGAGCAATAAAAAAAATGAATTACAACAATAGGAAGTAAAATTCTAGAGCCAAAAGTGATTATGCATAAACATCTACTTTAACATATAAAGCAATAACATGTCAAATCAAATATCCTAACACCACCCATACTAAAAATGCATTTTACACTCGGATTTAAAAAAAAAAAACTTTAATCATACTCAAGGTTTTCAATAACCATGGCTCTGATACCATTTTGTTGGATGTGAAAATTTAATCATCACAATAGGAAATTAATTTTCCTTTGAAGAATAAAGTCAAATGCATGGTGGATCTTAGATCACCTTAAGATCATATGATGTTTTTATTTAAATCCTCACACATAAATGTGAGATGATAACCTTGAAGGAGCTTTTAATGGTCTAACCAAATGCTTCATCCCTTAGATCTTCTACCTCGTGCTCCTTAGATGCCTCTCCCTTCTTTTAGGAAAATGGAAAATGGCTAAACCCTTAATGCTTGCCCAATGTGCCCTTAAATGGCATATTTACCACACAATTAGAGTTTCATATTTGCACAAATTTTCTTGGACTTTATTGTGGCAGACCAATTAAGTCACACACCTTTATTGGAGCCAGAGGGGCCTAACCCGACTCACAAGACTCAAGCTCCAATAGATGTTTATAATCGGGTCAAATCTTGACCAATTGAGATACATCTATTAATCTCGACTTACTCTACCAAAAAATGGGGATTGTACTCTCGAGTCGAGTGAAAGTTATGGAAGCCAATTATGATTCGATAACAATATCCTCCGACCACCGTTCCAAAAGCCAACCCCCGTTTGACCGTCAATATGTTGAAGTCGACAAAATGACCGTTTTGCCCTTCAACATGTATTACCCTCTAAGTCCCATTTCATAAGGCGAATTTGTTGTGATCACATCACAACACTAAGTCCAAGGATCTCATAATTGGACTACCGAGTTCATGTTCAATTCCCTTTAGAAAATATCTTAGAGTGACGATCGTCTCATCGTGATGATTAACGGATTCCACTATTGTATGTATATGATCTCTAATTGCTTCAACTTCGCCCAAATTCTCAAAACATCGAGATTAATCTTCTAATTGAGACTTTACTCATTGGTACCTCAAAGAACTTGAACTAGAAATTAAAAGTACATTACTTGCTCATGATTTAGGTGACTTGTTCGATAATCGAGTGGTATCTCATTTCAAGCGGTCACAAATGAGTCATCCACGCGGTCCAGTTCAATGTACTTCAAAACACGTTATTGTGCTTATTTCCAGATCTAGACAAATCTTAATAAGAACAATGCAATCTTATCAACATAAATCGTCCAATTTCATGTACCGATTGTGAACGACATATTTTGATCATATAACGAATTATGTCTTACTATACCCAAACCGTCGAGTATTCAGTTTGTTATATTTCATATGATCATGGAACCTTAGATTATTGTCGCAAATTTTAACACGCGAATAATTGAATGTTAATTCATAATGTCGTTACAATATACTTACCACAAAAAAAGGGCACCAAACTAACATTAACACGGTCCATGAGTTCGGTCCATTCACTTTCATCACACTCCTTAGCACATATGCATCAAATAAATAATATCAATGTTTTTATCTTGTACATAATATTGTAGATTGGAAATGCTGTGATAGACGATGAGACAGACAGGAAGGGAGTGTATGACTATCTTGCAACACATGCTCTAATCTCGGATGAAACATTGTACCAAATTCAAAAATTCTGCAATTTTTCGTCCAATGTTTCGAATCAATCAGATGAATGCAATGAAGCTTGTGATGAAGCTGACACAGATGTATACAGCCTTGATGTGTACAACATCTATGCTCCTTTATGCACCAATTCCAGATTCTCCTCCTATCCCAAGGGAACTTCGGTAAGTAAATTTTAATTTTTTGTCGAATTATATGCAGGACTGGACATGACAACTAACAAACGTGTCTTGTGCAGGTAATGAATTTTGATCCATGCAGTGACGACTACGTGCATATATACCTGAATCGACCTGATGTTCAAGAGGCACTCCATGCCAATGTCACCAAAATACATTACAATTGGCAATCATGCAGGTTAAATTAAACATCATTCTTTTTTATTTATATTATTCACATTTTGAGGGTGAAAACTTTATTGGTCAGTCCAAAATATCGATTGTCATTAGCTTTTTTTTTTTGTACAATTATTTAAATATAGCTAGGGTCCGTTTGATTGGTTTAAATTTCATGGAAAATGTCACATCCGAAAAATTCAATTTCTACTTGGCTGTTTGATACGAAAGTGAAAATGAAGTTCGAATTCCAAGATACAACCGCTTTAAACTTGTTTTTTGCCAATTTCATGAAAAATGCATTCTTATGAGGTACTTGGGTTTTATTTTCCAACTTTTATGGAATTGGAAAGCATTTCCACATTTGCCAATCGAACGGTCCCTTAGTGAAATGCCTGTTATATTAGATTTGAAAATTATAAAATCCATTCCTCTGTATAGATTCCGGAAACGAGAAATCTAGCCCCCATTTTTATAATTTATTTTTTCTCAAACTCATTTCCAACCACACTTTTTATGGTATTCACAACTTTATCAAGTTTAACATATTTCATCAATTTTTATCAAAATCTACAAAAAAATTAATTTTTATTTAAACTAAAGAGGAGCTCAGGATAAATTTTCAATTTTTTTTTCTTGAAATTTCAGCGATGTCATCCAGAAATGGGAAGATAGTCCATCAACCGTTATTCCTCTCCTCAAAGAGTTGATGGCAAATGGACTTCGAGTGTGGATATTTAGGTAATTAAAACTTATTTCATAATTAAATTATATTTACTGTATATAATATGAAAGCATCTCGATTATTTCAAATGCAGCGGCGACACAGATGGAGTTATACCAATAACTTCTACAAAGTATTCTATCAATCACATGAAACTTTCAGTGAAAACTTCTTGGCGTCCTTGGTTCCTTGGTAGAGAGGTAATTAACTAAACTTAAACATAAAATATTTAACGTTATATTTTTCCTTTTTTCTCCCTAAAAAATATTTTGTCTTATAGCTTATAATATTAATGAAGTTATTTTTCCTTTTTATTTGAGGGACTTAAAAAGGTGACAGTGTGACAGTTTTTGTCTTCTTTTTAACTGATGTCTCTTAGGCCATGTTTGGGAGGGTTTCTCTGTTGGAATTAATTGATTTATTTGGATCATTAAATATATTGTTTAATGATATTTATTTGGGTCATTAAATATGTTATGTAATGATGTGGGCCGTTGTAATTAATTTGGGTGAATTGGAAAAGTCTCCAATATAGGCCCATATGTTATAAGCCCATTTAAGTGTCTTATATATGGTAAGGAATCCCACATCGAAAGTTTACAAGAAAATAGACTTGTTTATATAGTGGGATGTGTGTATAAGTTATAATTTAATAAGTGACCTACAACTTGGCTAACTATTAGCTAGCCAAAGGCTAGCTAACTAGTCACCACGAGAGTGGTGCTTCGCACCACTCACGCCAC